GACTATGGCTGTGCGATGTGGACTCACGTGCCGGGTCGTGATGGCTATGCCAGGTATGCTCAAATGTTCTCCATGTGCCGTTGGGTTATGAGCCTTCGGTGTCACCCATTGCCTTTCTTCTCCTTGCTGCTTCCCCTCTTCGTTGCTATCGGTGAAGAAACAAAATGCTTCGTATCTCCATGGTCATTGCATAGGGAACTTCGTCGTACTTGCTAAACATCGGCGTCGCTGGTTATGTGACAGTATGTGCCTTGCCAGCGGAGGCAGGAATTGTCGGGGAAAATTATGAACTCCATGAGTCCTGCATTCATGAAGCTCCTGAGCATCACGTCCGGCAGCTAGCAGACCTCTGCAAGTTTTGTTCTGAAATGCAGAGTACGGCTCTTGAGCGTTGACAGCATACCTAGCTTCCTACACTGCTCCTATAATCTCGCTCACGTTTCTTGACAGCAAGAAAGGCATTCAGTTACTCATGTAGTAACACATTTACTTATTCATTGGTTCTCCCTTTCCTCAGGACATCGCCGACATGTCTTCTTCGGCACATGGACGCGCTGTCTTTCAGCATGTGCAGCTGTGAAGCTTGACTTGAAGTCTTAGAGGGCTTGTGTTTCGTACTGGACTCAGTTAGAGATGGGATCTCAGCTGGGAATTGAAAGCCAGGCGTCGGGCTTGGGCTCGTAAACCTGCCAAGAGCAGTGGAGCACATCCCCAACGGCCTGCTCAACCAGATCTTCCTGAAGCCAACAGCCTCCTGCAACCCGACAGCCTGTAGTTCAGATTGTGCGCAGCGGGACCAATAGCCTGCGTTTACATCTAATCCCTTGAACTAAGGCGCCGCGCCGACGGTCGTGCGAAAAAAGGTTGTGGACACGGGCATGCACCCCCTGAGAGTGCCAGGCAGCGAAACCTCATGGGCGACATTGCTGCCTTTGGATCCCAATCGCGTGCCCGCTCTGCGGCACTGCCGGCGTGGTAAGCATCCCATGACACTCAAGCCTTCTTTTGGTGGTCGGAACAAGAAGGCGCTTCCTCGGCTGAAGAAACCCGACGATGACCCAGTCGAGTTCCACATGGGCGCTGGCGATTGGAGGGACGGATTCTGGAGAAGACCCGATAACCTCAAGTGCAACCGCTGCAAGAACAATGGCCCGAGAAAAAGGCGGGGATATACTTTGACTTTCGTGTGCACGCCCGCTGCCTCTCCGCCGTGACATGTTCAACGGTTCGACTCTACTCTACTGCTTCAGGCCCAAAGCATTGCCGGTGCCTTCGGATGTGATCTCAAAGGAAACCGAGGCACGTCAGGAGTATCAAGCGGTTTGCACATGCTAGAATCTCATTGAATTCAGTATGTTGAAGCCATATAGCGATCATAGGCGATAAATTGGTCACGGGCTTTCTTATCTTATGCGCATGGCTGCAGGAGCCGCCGGAGAGCCAGGATACTTGCGTGAACGGCAACGCGGAGGCGCAGGCTCGCCAGGTTCGCCTACTCCAAAATATACTGTGTAACAGACTGACATTGTATCGCCAGTCGCATCTGCGAAAGTTGCGGTTTGATGCACTTTCACGGTGTCTCCTGAAAGGAAAGATGCTTCAGTGCGTTCATCTTCGACGACGACGGGAAAGCCTTTTTGATCAATGAGTTCATCGATCCGCATGGGCGGCCGGATGAGTGCTGCTGGAGAGCCTTGTTGGATTATGAAGTAAAAGCTGCAAGAACGTGGGCAGTGATCACGTTGTCTCTGACGACGCTCGCCGAGGCGACTACTTCATGGCTGCTTTGACGGATCGACTCGCAGCGCACGTTCCGGAGCAGGTTCGCCTACTCCAAAATCTGCGAATTTGCATTATTGCTATCCGTGCGTAAGTAGCGTGAGTGCTGTTGTGCTGTTGCCAGGATGAGGATTTGCGCGATCAGCTTCTCGGACTGTACATGTCTGGTAGACTGTCTCAATCTGAGACCAAGGAGTTGGCTTCCTAGTTTCCAGAACTGCTGTAGAATGGGCCACCTGAGCTCGAAACTAAACGCCCTGTGTATCAGGCCCGAAGAGCCGCCGTGCCACTTTGCAAACAGATTGGCTGTGAAGATGGAGCCAGACTGCCCGGATGCTTCCTGTGTCTTGATCTGCAGAAATGTCGATCATGATAATAGGCAGTAATTCCGGGCAGATAGACTTGGAACATGTGTGGCAGCACATACGGGTATACCGGTTTACCTATGCTGGACGTCCAGGGCGTAGCTTTCGACACTGCGGAATGAAGCTGGGTGACAGAGCCCAGTGGTGCCTCTCGGCGAATGTCCACTTAGCCTCCGAGAAACGATATTTCTCCAACCGCATGCATGGGTATGCCACGTTGCTTATGTTTTCGTGTTTGAACTGTGAAGGCGACAACTTGATTTGCGGCGTGATCTCCAGAATCCGGACCACGGCCGAGATCAAAGTCTATGCAGACTGGCGCGCTCCCAGGACTACGCATTTGCTAGTCTGAGTCTCGCAGGTGATTAAACGTACTTGTCACTTTCACGATCTCCAGCATTTGTCGAGGAAGAATGGCCCAAAGAAGCTGCGTTTGATGAAAACGAAGATGCTCAGCAGGCTTGTCTAGCGATTGCAGCGTAAAGGCTTCCTCTACATGTTTCTCGTCCCACAGGCAGCAGCAGTCCCTGCAGCGCATCCTTGCCTGTCCTGCTGGAGACAAGAAGATTTCAGCCAAAACGGCTTTGATCCCCATGAGCATTCCCTGGCCAGGCCGCGTGTGACTCACGTTAAGTAGAGCTCGACAGCACATGCCTCACGAAACATAGCCTCATTCATGGCTTGGTACTTCTTGTTTCTGGCATCTGCAACCCTGCAGGTGAGAAACGCTTTGAGGAGACTTGTCTCGTGGACGCGCTGCGCTCCACTGGGCTGAAGGTGCCCTACACATCCAACGGTCCCTTTTTGGTACTCAGGGACGGCAACCGCATGGCAGCGCCGCTGGGGCGACTCCGCGTGCTAGAAGAAGCCGTTTAAGCACACTTGCTCGTACGCAGTGTGTGTGATGTCTGTTTTTTAACATTGCACTCAGCCCAGGTATTCCATTCATCGCGCTTCGACAGTGGATGAGCCAGGTCGATACGTGCTTTATCGAGATCACCACTTTATTGGTGCTCGAGTTTACGAAGATGGCTCCTGCGCCTTCTCCACGTCACATCGGCCGTGTGACAATCAGCAAGGAAGTGTGGCAGCCCTTGCAAGATCTTTTGAAGCAGTGTTTGCTGTGGTCCCCATAGAAATGGCGCGTGGCGTGTCATCTGCTGCCCAACAATGGGACCCGTGTGGCGGGAAGCAATTGGACGCATGCGCCGCAGATCACATTGCGGAGCTTGCCACACACGACCTGCCAGAAGAACTAGACCAACTTATTCAGCCAGCTCCAGAGCGAGCTTTGCCACACTTTTGGAGGGACGAAGAGGTCGGGTTCTTCGACTATCCTCCGGAGTGGCAGCATCACGCACTTGCAATCCTGCGAGACCGCGCAGTTTGTGCATTCCAGGAGGCCAACCTTTCTGCCGACAGCTCAGCGCTGGCGGGCGACAGACTCGGGGGTGCGCTACCTGTGGAATGCCTTCGATCCTTGCCGGGGTATTTCTTCTCGCCCCATTATCTGCGCGTTTTGGCGTGCGTTTCGCAGGAGCTGCGACTGGCGGTTGGGGACAGCAGACTTTGGACTGGAAGCAACTCAGTCGAAGAAGAGGAACGTTTGAGCGCTGTTTCTTGCCCATGCCTATAAAAAATCATAATCTTGCTGTGATACTAACAGGACTACTCACCAAGTACACATTCAGAAGTCGTACCCGGCGCAAAGTCACTGAGGCGACATCTGCGTCGACAACCCGGAGTTTGCGCAGGGGCAAGTTCTCCGGTGGGCTTCGCATCTATGGCGCGAATGCCGTGAGCTGTCCTTGAACATTTTCCAGCTCATTTCTTTGGACACGTTGCCGCACCAAGCTGTCCTGAGGTGGCACATTGACAGGGTCAGGCCAATCCCAAGGCAGCCCGGCTACATGATGGGCGCATGGTCCGTGCATCCGCTCTTGGGCTCCGCGAGATTGGAATTGACGATCTCTTGCAATGTCACTGGCCTTTACATCGGCGTGAAGGAGCCCAGAGGAAGCCGGCAAACGTTCGTTCGTGCTACCAACCTGCACAGGTCGGACATCACCTGGGCATTCGGAGTGAGCGACCGGCCGATCATCCCGCATTTTGCCGCAAGCTGTCACGGCATCCAGGCCGGAGCTCGGCACACTTTGGATGTACGCTGGACCGACAGACTTTTTCGTCTTTGCAAAGATGGTCAGACCATCATCGCTGGCCTCCCAGTGGACTCGATGGCAAGAGCAGCTCCAACCTTTGCCAACGTTTACATCTGGGCCTTTGGACAGAGACAGCTAAGGCAAGATGATCTCGTTGTCACGCCCTTGCCTGCAGGCATCAACAGAGATGCAGCCATTCGATGCAGCTTGTGTCGCGGCACGCGTGGCGTGGTCTCCCAGCTGTGGGCAATCTGCCCCCGTTGCCACAACTGGATCTGCCGCAGCCACGTGGAACACACACCTTTCAGACTCTGCGATGTCTGCGGTCTCGCGGAACTGGACGACTTTGTCGGTGGTTCGCATGTGTCGGCCAGGGAATTTTGGCACGAGCTGCAAGCAGGACTTACTGATGGCGAGGAGGACAAGTGGCAACAGGTCGTGCGCGGCATACTGGTGCCTCACTCCGAGTGTCTGGCAGAGCTCCCACATCTGGTGGACTTGGTGCCGGCCCCGCAAGAGCGCATGGCCATGAGCAAGCGCAGATGGGAGCGCTTACTATACAGGGCGCGCACTTTGCTGGACATGTTGGATCAAAGGCAACATTTGCTTCTTTTCCAGTTCATGCACGCACTGGCTCGCAAAGTGCCCGAGCGGCAGCGGGATTTTATAGCGGGACTGTTGCACCCGGCTGAATTTCAGGGTGGCCTCGAGGAATGGCGCCTGGAAGCTTCCCTGGGAGCCGTGCAGCTTCAGGTCGTTATTGGTGGACTGGAAAGAGGCAGATCCCAGCAGCAGCGAGCGCCGGATCAGAATCTTTTAGGTGGTGGTGAGCGTGACGACTACATGGGCGGTGCCCAGCACCCGCACCTGTCGGCACGGGAATTCGATGAGGATGTTTTAGGTGGCGGTGAAATCACAAATGATATATTGAGGGCCATTCCAAGCTTCTTCGACGATTACGATGACATCTATTGCTTGGCGTGCTGCTGCTGCGAACTGCGAGACATCGTTCTCGACAGAAACTATTGGCGCGGCAAACACATCAACCTGGTCGTGCCTCCCCTGACGAATGCTCCCGAAGCAGTTCGGAGCGCAGCCAAATTTTTCGACCAGGCAGCTTCTCTTACAATGGAGATCCCGCAACTTGTTCACCTGGATCGCGTTCCTCGCCGCGGAATCATTCACTGGTACTCAGAAAGACTTGAGAACTTTCTGGGCAACGAGTTCACAGGTTGGGAATCCAAGCATCCTCTCTTTGGGGCAGTGAGGTTTTCACTGACTATGCCGCTTACCGTGGCAAGTGTGTACATTGGCGCCAAGGCGCTCGCGTCTGCGCAGCGGTCGTTTATCAGAATCACCAACCCCTACACAAGTTCCTGTGAGCTTTCGGCCGGGCTCAGTGGAACCCCTGTGCAACCATTTCCATCGAACGTCGTCAACAGCACACTGAATCCGCCTGGCTTCGCCAATGAATTTTACTTCGTCTGGTCGACGCATCGCACGACTTTATACATCAACCAACAGAAAGTCGGCACTGCTCGCCTGGAACCAGGATTTGCTGATATGCCTGGTGCGTTTTCCTCGACGTTCGTCTGGGTTATCTCAAGACGCTCTGCTCCGGAGAAGCCTACTTTGACTCCGCTGCTTTCCCCCATCGATCCCGAGACATTGGCGAGGCGGGCTGTTGGACTTGGTTTGTTGAGCTAATTGTGAAATTGTGAATTGAAACTTTTGAACTCATATATGCAACTCTAACAAAAAGATCCCTTCGGAGGTGCTGCGTCTGCGGACACGAGGAGTCCATCAGCTCCCGTGACTGGCTAGTCTGCTGGGAATGCTGCTCATGGGCATGCCGTTATCACGCACAGCGTGGCCCTCGGGAACCGTGTCCCACGTGCGGGCTTGTGCAGCTAGCCGACTGCCTGGGAGGATCTACGGGCAGCTCCTTGGATGCCTCACAGAAGAGGCGCCTGCAGGAGTCCAGGCTGGCAGCGTACGAGCGGAAGGCTACCAGACTAGCTTATATGGAAGGCTTCTTGCCGAAATTATTGCAGCCCAGCGCATGGACCTGTCCTTCCACGCCATCGGCCTTCGAGCCTGGCAACGCAGCGGACGTGGATGTACTCAAGACATTGCGAGCACATCCACGCGATTTTGCGATCCGCTTTCAAGCGTCGGATCACACGTACTACATCGAAGGAGTACAGACGCATGGGTCAGTGACCAGCATGATCCATGCTTTCTCGGAGCCCTTTCAGCCAGACTTGGTCATTGCGAAGATGATGCAAGGTCGCAACTGGCCGCGAGCCGGGTACCTGAAGCGCGACGTGTCTTTCGCAGTGATGACACGGCTTCGAATTCTGTGTCCCGGGCTCTTGGATTTGTACGCCGGCAATCCAAGAGATGATGTCAGTATCTGCAATGTTCTGCGTGGGGTGTCGGACTACGCGGACATCTCTCACGAAATCACGCAGCTCTCCTTGTCTCCGCAAGAAATCAAGGACATGTGGGCAGATGGTGGAAGGCAAGCAGCGCACTACGGCACGTACATGCACTACCTATTCGAGGCCTTCATCAACGGTCAGCCAGTGCCCGCCACCTCTCCTGAAGTCAGGATGCTGCAGACATTCCTGCACGGCATAGCTGGCACATCCAAAGCCTTGCGGACAGAGTGGACCATATACGGTGAAGAAGAAAAAATTGCTGGGTCCATTGATTTCTGCGCGCAATCACCTGATGGGAGGCTTATTCTTGTCGACTGGAAGCGCACCGCAGGGCTGCCCGGCAAATTCACCTCCTTCGAGCGCATGCGTCCACCACTGGCCCACATTCCAGACTGCACGGGGATGCATTATCGTCTCCAACTCAACGTTTATCGGCACTTGTTGGAGAAATACTATGGCCTCAGAGTTTCTCGCATGCTGGTCGTTTGCTGTCATCCGGAGCACTTCCCAACTCCCTTTGTGGACGAGGTGCCCAGGATGGAGCGAGAAACCAAGGACATGTTACATGCTTGGTGTGAAGATCGATTGGGAGGCGCGAGCCAGGCTTCGAATTCTTTCCCTGAGGTAGGCCAAGAAGTAGTCGAAGATGATGAGAGCCGGGCTGACGCACGCTTGGTAGCCAGGGAGAACACTTTTCGAGTGCCGGACGAAGTTGAAATCGAACTGGAACATCACCTGGAAGATTCTCTCGATCTCGATCTGGACACAGGGGCAGGAGATTCTAGATTGCAGCAGGCTAGAAAGAGACGCTTGCTGCCTGGCGCAGACAGCACCATGAACGAGTTTCAGAATTTTTTCAGCAGCCTGTACGAGGCCGCTGATGCTTCCTTGGCAGAAGTGCCTCTTCTGATCGGCGTCGAGGAGCCAAGCATTCCCTCTAAAGTGGCACAAATACGACAGACCATCTTGCGAAAATTTCCTCGAATGGAGGAGAGCTTAGTCAGAGTTGTCACAGGTGCCATCACGGTCTACAGACTTCGACTGACTGACCTCCATCTGCGAGAACTGGTCGTGCTTCTATGGATTATCGAGGGAGAACAATTCATGCGCTGCCACGATGGCAACTTGTATTTTTTCCATCTTGGAGCTTTCGCGCTTCACAAAGGTGTTCCGCCCCAAGGAACACTGGCTCGCTGCAAGCGCTTCTTCGTGCAGCTGGAAGGTCTTTTCAGGCAGATGGGGGGCGCGAAGCTCACCACCGACGAGGATGTCTTGAACGTCGTCCAGGACCTGCTGGAAGCCGTGAACAACTCTGCCAGGCAACTTCTAAATGAATGTGAGGATGCGGCTTTCGGACATATTCCCCGTGGGGCTGGCGCCAGCAGGGGGCGGGCTCGGGAAAACGCAGAGCCAGGCGAACAAGAGCCGGTTGCCGTGGCGGCATCAGCTGGTCGATGCCAAGGGCTAGCGGACGCACTAACGAAGGCTGGTTACAGCATGCAGAACGAGCTCTTACGAGACAAGTTCTTCAGCCTTGTTGTGGAGTGGTGCGATACCCCACAGATGCGATCCGCGGGCATCTCCTACACGGACTGCGCTTTTCTTTACGACCAGGCGCCGGGCCAGAACGTGACGCCGGCAAGAGGAGTGCCAGAGGATAACATCTACGTGCACATCCCGCACCCACTCCTGAACTACACCTTGGACGACCCTGTGCTGCTGCGCGCTCAAGAATCCCTGCAGCGCTTCTACTCGGAAACCTTTTGGCTGAACAACGATGCCCCTCCGCTCCTACCGGCAGTGGTGGTTTATAAACCTGCCTATAGGCACTCGCTTTGTTAGTGCGTGTAGGCAACCGCACCTGTCTACCGTAGAAGACAAATACGGTTGTTTGTTGTTTATTGGTGTACTAGCCCAACAGAATCTTGGAAACAGCTCAGGTGTTCGCCTGCAACCACGCAGCCATCGCTCTGGCAAAGCGCGGCGAAAACATTGTTCGATGCTTTATCGGTGTCAGCCCGGGAGGCGCGACTGGTACAGGGCTAGCTAAGGCAAGCGTGGATTGTGGATGGTTGTAATCTTGCGGGATATATTTAGCACGTTGCCCTGTCCATGCAGTCGGCTTTGACACGCTCCGTCTGCAGGTGTGGGCCAGTCGCTCTACAGCGGCCACTTGGACGCGGTGTACGGCCCCAATCATCAGTTCATTGATCCCACCATATGGTACAACGAGGAAGAGATGAGGAAACAGGTGTCGCAATGCGCTGGTTGCTTCATCCTGACAGCCCAGGAGAAGCCCGAAACAAACAGAAAGATGCGAGAAGACCTTTTCAAGAAAGCCTGTTCCGCAGATGGCATTGCTGGCCGGCCCCCCTACGGAATGTCCACCCGAATGATCGAACTGGTATGCTGGCTCAGGTACGAGGTCAACAGCATGTTCACGCTTAGCGGCGTTACTGAAGGTAATTTCCAGTCCGCGTATCGCAGGGCATTTGTGTGGGAGCCAAAGGCTCGCTTCATTGACCCGAATGTCATTGCGGCGGTTTATCCAGACGCCTTCATGGACGGTTATTTCCGCAAAAACGAAGAACTTAAGGACTTTCTGCGAAGTCCCCCCTGCGTGGCTGCTGCCCTTCGTCTGCAGCATGCCTTCGAAGTGAAGCATTCTCGAGAGGAATGCAGACAGCTGATCGAGGAATATGCCGCAAAGCCATTGACTGAAGACATGATGAGGAAGGCGTGCGGCTTGCCAGCGAGACGTCGGTCCGATGAGGTGAACCCCAATCTCCAGCTGCCGGTGGAGAGCACGAGTCAGCAAGAAAGAGACCTTCGCTTGAAAAACTCAAGAGGGTCCAAGCATCTCTCGTTGATCACTGTATGAAAAACCACAAGGCAGTGTTCACCAAAGGAATGATGCGGTATCTCAGTTTGCCGACAGATCATCCACAGGACATGACTAGGGATGATATGTTTGAGGCTCTTCTGCGCCACGACCTCCTCACGCCAGCGAACAACCTCAGCAAGAAGTACAAGGACAGTGCCTTCCCTTGCCTCGTCATGAAGAAGAGTCTTGCGGAGATACTGACATTACGACCCGAGGCTGCGACCGTGACGTTTACAGAATTCCACAACCTTGAGGCTGCGAGGAAGTACATTCAGGACAATGCCGACAGAGAAGCGAACGTTGCGTGTCTGCTGCAATATTTTCAGGAGAGGGCAAAGGAGCTGAAGAAGAAAGGCAAGGCCGGCGGTCAAACTGTTGACAAATTGGAAGGCATTGCGTACTATGAAAACTTAATTGAGAAGATTCATCAACGAGAGAAGACATTGGGTAAAATCCTGCCACGTGCTGAAGCATTGAGTGCTTCGCCCTCTAAGAGCAGTGCTCGAGTATTGGACGCTACGCCGACTAAGAGGAGACGCAGGACAAAGTCAGGCCCTGACTCGCCCTCTCACTTCGAGCCAGCTTCCCAATCTTCTCTGATTCAGCCAGCTCCCCGATCTGACATCCTCCCCGCAAGCGCAGACATTACATATGAACGCACTTTTCAAGGTATAGTTCGCACCAGAGCTTACGCCAGAGGTCCGAGAATAGGCGCGCAGAGACTGCCTCGCCTACTACAATGTCTTCTCTGTCCGGACACACACGACTTGGACATCGAGAACTCAGTGTTTGTTGTGCTGCACCAGTTGCTGAGGAAACTCGATGTGAACGATTCCATACCATCTGGCGTGATGGAAACCATGGAAGCCTGTGCGAAGCACCGATCAGCCGTCTGCCGAGAGAAACTGAATCTCTCTGTCGAGAAGGGGAAGAAAGTGCTGCATTCTGTTCTCTTTGGTGGACAGATTCCGGCGCCGCAGAGAGGCATTGCTTTCCTGCAGCAACTACAGCAGGCCTCCATTTACTTGCGGTGGACGGCGTGTTCCCTTATGCGTGAAGTCTACAGTGCGGTTGAGAGTTTGCCTGAAAAGGCAAATCCACAAGCCTCGACCTTACACTACTTATATACTTCTGTGGAAGATTACATCCTGGAGGCATGGACGGACTGCATATCTCGCCACCGGCCAGGTCATCTCTCTCTTCATTTCGACGGTGTCAGGGTTGGTAGGTTTTCGTCAGAGGTGGAAATAAGCAACATCTGCCAAGAGGCCATGGATGCCATCAAGGAAAAGACTGGCTTCGAGGTGAACATCGTCGAGAAACATCACTACCTCTTTCGGCAGCTGTGTCGGACGCCAGCAGAGAGCGTCGAGGAGCCCGTGGCATACGAGGATCTGCACCTGCAAGGCAATTGCATTCCTCTGGCCATTGCAAGACTGATGCCTGAGAAACTCAGCGACATCAAAAAGGTTCTTGAGGCAAGCAATCACAAAAACAAGGAAGCTGCCCAGCGTGGCTCGAGGTGTTATTCCTCCGTGCTAACCTCTCTGAACATTGCAGTGACTCCCGAGCATGAGTTGAACATCGAGGACAAGGGCAAATATCTGTTGCACACTGACCACGACGGCAATCCTCATTGCTTGGCGTGCCAGGTGGGCGACAATGGCCTGGTAAGCCTGTGGGACGGCAGGTACAAAACCACAATGTTGCTGGATCAGCTCCTGAGCTTTGGTGATAAAGCCATGGATGCTAGCACAATTGTCACCTTCAAAATTAGAGGAAGTCTTGATGCGGCAGAGGCAAGCGAAGCCGCCAAGCCGGCCGCCCACGTATTATTGGGTCTTCATGCAGGGGCTGGCGATCTGTGTGAAGAGTGGTCGGAATGTTTGCAAAACAGATTGGAATGTCAAGCGCCGCAGCCAGGCTCGGACGACGAGTGTGATGTTTTGACGAGGGACGAGGACCTGGATCCCGTTGTCAAAGCAGGCGACAGACTGCTAAGAGAGCTTCGTAGCGAGGTCGATGCTGCACTATGCTCATCCGAAGAGAAACGACGCTGCTGCCCTCTATGCCCTTTCCGTCGTTTTCAAAAAGCAAGTCGTGTGAGGGATCACATTCGCTCCTATCACGTGGATAGGAAACAATTTGTGTGCAGTGGCACAAAGCAGTTGAAGCTCTGCTGCGCTTTGTTCGACCACGATCAGCTTTGTGGCACCATCCAGGGCTCGTATTTGAGGCGCAGTTGCGACATGCTTCGGACCACAGTAAGACCATCATTGCCCTGCTCCACGAACGAAATCGATAGACACATTCGTTTGGTGCTTACCGGCTCCGGCCCCGAGTACTGGAATCTGAAAGCTGTCATAGACTCCCCTGACCTCAGACGTGCCCGTAATTTGTACTACACGCGTGAGTTCGCGGAACTGATTTTCCGCGAACTGCTCATGTGCCACGCGAAGTGCAAGGCCGTGTCTTGGATTTCCCTTTGAGAAATTTTGAATTTCATTTGTGACTGGTGTGCGTGCAGACACTAAGCTGAGGGTGTGATGTAACGAGCAGCTGTTGTTGCATGCTTGGCAAGGCGAAGCCACGACTGGCCGTGTGGATCAACATGCAGGGATCGCAGCTGACGTCCCTCCTGCCCACGGACGTCAGACACTGGTGGCCAATCATCGAGGACGTATTCACATCCTCAGCGGTGCGCAGCTTAAGCTCCGACATGATGACCGCCTTCTGCAATTCCAACGAATTCAGATTCTTGTCGCTGGACGCCACCATCAAGTGCTGCATGGGCGTCATGGGACAGGAGTCCTACCGTGCCCCGAAGCACAAGAGGAACGCGGCGCCTTTCGATGACACTGACTCGCTCAGGCGAGTTTTAACGGTGCGAGGGCGTACTGGTGCCGTTTTGGCCATGATTCCAGTGTCGTCGGAAAAGGCTGAAGTGGTGAGCGTGGCCCTCGGCGAGGCGTTGCCTGCAGCAGGACTGCAGCAGGTGGAATGCGTGGCCTCGGACGCCGCCTCTCTGAAGCTCTACACACAACTGCGGAGGATCATGCCAGGCCTACAATGCCTAACGTTGGACCCCATCCACTTGTCCATCGTGTACGAGCAGCTCGGCTTGTGGGATACTTCCGTAGTCACGAAGCACGTGTAACCAATCAAAGGCGTCAAGCACTCTTGATTAATACTATACAGTGCGATAGCGCAAGGTACGCCACGTGGCGCAAGAAAACTGCAGGTGCAGTTTTTCTGCGCCGAGTCCTGAGCAAGTTCAACGCAGTCTGCGGGTCGCTTCCTGCTGATCACTGGGAAAACTACCACAGGGGCTACAATGTTGGCGCATTGAGTCACGCTGAAAATGTGTGTCGGAGCCAAATCGAAAACAGCTCCATGACAAAGGTCAGAGCCAAAAGGATTGTCGAAAACCTCGACACAACAAAACCTTTTCTGTCCAGGTTTGAGTTCATTCAATGCCTGGCGGCCTTGTCGTCGATGTATTCGGAAGACATGGATCGCAAGGTTACGGGCTCCAACCAGCGAGTGGCGCACGTGCTGTGGTGCGCCGCTGACCCAGATCGGGCCGCCTGGCTATTCAACAATCTACGTTGGCGTCACAGTCTGGGTCCACGACTCAGAGAAAACATATGCAGTTTTGCAGCATGAGAGCCAACATCACCCGATTGCTTTCCCATTCCCCATGCGTCCTCTGATTGCACGGTCTGAGGCCGACGAGTGCTGGCTCTGCTGCCGTCAGGGACTTCATCAAACGAGGCTCTACACTCTGAGGTGAAGAACTGGTTCTCGGAAACACAGCAGATCCATCAGAGCACCCTGCGTATGAAGCTGCTGATCCTGACCCTTGGCAAGCAAATCCCGCACTGTAGTGCAATGGCCAATCCGACGATAAGCCAGTGCTCGAGCCGCATCCTCATGGCGCGGACTGTAACTAACTTGCCATGGACGGAGCTCACTTGGCGAACCTGGTGTGCCGAGCTGAGCAGGGAGGGTCAGGTAGAGAAGGCCTCGCTGCCTTACAATAAATCACGGGCAGAAGAGGCAAACAAGGTACGCGGATGGTCCATGAAGCGCCCAGCCGCTGTTCGCAAGACTCAAACAAAGCGAACCCCATTCACTCTCGAGCGGGTTTCCAAGCTGCGGACACAAGGTGTGCGCAAGCGGAAGAAGCAGTGATTTGCCAAATGGACGAGATTGCAGAGCGAAGAAAAGGCACACGTGGAGTGACAGCTGGGTTTGCGTAGGGAAACTGTCGGTAAGCTGCCCTGGAGTATACGTCTTTCTTTTTCGAGCAGCGAGTGAACAAGAAAATGAGCGCCCCCTGACGCCTGCGGCGAGCCCAACATTTAATGACGATGGCTTTAGCGTACCCATATCGAGACAGCGGTGGCTTTGCGAATTGAGCCGTGACTGTGCGAGGCGGGTTTTCTGATTGGATCGAGGCCTAAACTGTTTCACGCGTGAATCGTGTTCGTGAGGTGGAACACTCTTGTCATAGGGCTAGGTTCTGCTTCGGCACTTCTTGGAATGGATTTTTGGCAGGGATTTTCATGATCATGAGCACCTGTTTTTGGCAGAGCTACCGGTGGCTTTGCGAATTGACTTTGGTGCTGGATCGAGGTAAACCGTGGCTGTGCGAGGCGGATTTTCTTACTAGATCGAGGTATATAAACTGTTTACGCGCATGAATCGTGCTCGCGAGGTGGAGCACTGTTGTCATAGGGCTAGGTTCTGCTTCGGCACTTCCTGGCAGGGGTTTTCATGGTCGTGAGTGCCTGTTTCCGCGGAGCTAGCGCTGGCTTTGCGAATCTATTCGCGGAGCTAGCGGTGGCTTTGCGAATTGACTTTCGTGCTGGATCGAGGTAAACCGTGGCTGTGCGAGGCGGATTTTCTTACTAGATCGAGGTATATAAACTGTTTACGCGCATGAATCGTGCTCGCGAGGTGGAGCACTGTTGTCATAGGGCTAGGTTCTGCTTCAGCACTTCCTGGCAGGGGTTTTCATGGTCGTGAGTGCCTGTTTCCGCGGAGCTAGCGCTGGCTTTGCGAATCTATTCGCGGAGCTAGCGGTGGCTTTGCGAATTGACTTTCGTGCTGGATCGAGGTAAACCGTGGCTGTGCGAGGCGGGTGTTCTTATTGGATCGAGGTATAAACTGTTCACATGCGTGAATCGAGTTTGTGGGGTGGAACGCTGTTGTCATAGGGCTAGGTTCTGCTTCGGCAATTCCTGGCAGGGGTTTTCATGTGGTCATGAGCGCCTGTTTTTGCGGAGCTACCAGCTACCGGTGGCCTTGCTAATTTCGTTGGGTACTATCGCGGATATTCTCCATGCTGCATGCAACCCTGGTTG